AAGCAAGAAAAATTGAGCTAGAAAGTGTATCTGGTAGGTTATAATAGAGAACACAGGTTACAATATGAAATACCAGTCAGCATCACATACACAGTAATTGCCCAGCATTGATTAAGTACTGAACAACCTACTAACATTTAAGAAGAAAACTACATCTAATTTTAGTTTAAAAGGAAATGTCTCTATAAATCTTTTAATTCTGGAAGATGGAATATTTACATATAGTTCAGTCGGTACTGGAGGATTCAATTATTTTATTTTTTATTTCATAAAGGAGAAGGCAAAATCTGCCTTTTACTCAGTTTTAGGACTGTTTTAGTTAGATGAAACAAAACATTCACTAAAGTTATATGAAATTTTAGTGGAGTCAGAAACAACAGAGAAATTARGATTTACAGAACCAAAACACTCCCATATACAAGCTGGTATAAATGGAAAGATGGGCGGCAGGTGTTGGAGGTGCTTGAGGGTTGGGGAGAAGGCAATGAATGCCTCTCATCTGGAAAACAGACTGGTTTGAAAGTCAAGGAAGCTTYGTTCTTTGAGACTTCAGTCCTTACAGGTAATCCTGTGGCAGTATGGAAAGGGAAGCAGTGACCCAAGGAATCTCTTCTGATGATGATTGCTCTGGTTTGATCTTGTAGGTTTGGGAAGTCACTTAGGAAATCGAAGGACCATCAGAGAACAAAAGAAGTTCTCAAAAGTTTCATCATTTCCATTAATTGCTACTGCTACTGCTACTATTCAATTTCAGCTTTTTAAACCATTTTTGCCACCACTATCTTCCAGCATACTGTCTTTGCAGGTGCAAAACCAGCTTGTCAGATTACTTCTTAATAATACACGCTCCCCTAGCTTCTCTTTCTGTCCATCTTAGTGGCAATGAAGGTCTGAAACGAGTCGCGCTGCTAATTAGTTACCCTTTCTCCACACCTYCCACATGCACACTACCTCAAATCCATAGGTTGATCTAAAGAAGCTCATCCAGCAGCATGGACTCAAGAGCCAGGCAGCAGGAAACATCAGCTATGCTCAATTCTGTTCCATAACCGCAACTTTCTTTCACGTCCCAACAAAACCAAATGCCTTCAACTTGAGTTTGTAATGAACTCTAACAGGACATAGGTCCAGCAGAATTAAATATTCTTGGGCAACACATGCATTCATTAAAAAAATCATTTCTCCTACGCCCTGACCAAGCCCCATTAAAACTAACCACAACTTGTTTGAATTCAGTGACAGGTCTACAAACTGCACACGTGAACTTCACCTGTATCCCTTATATTTGTGCTTTTTTTGCACTTCTGCTCATCAAGGAGGTAAGCAGCAATCACATTTCTTARATAATTATACTGACTTGGGTCAGTTCTCGGACCAGTTTATCCCAGCCCATTAGCATCAGAGTGACGACACCTCACGGCAGCTCAAGGGCCTCAAAAAGGAATCTGCAATAAAAATCAACAACATTGCGTCCAGTACCTCATAAARAAATTGTTTATGTCTCAGATCCTCCTCAGCAGCCCCCTGAACAATTTTGTGAGACCCGGGTGACAGCGTTTTGTTCCATGCGGTGTCACCTCAACCACAATCACGGCACCAACGCGGACAATGTGGCCTGGTGGGACACCAGGGAGGGGATGGAGAGGACACACGAGGCCGGCACCGGTCACGGAGGCAGGGTTATTACTTAACACACACGGCTTTCAAGATGAATGATTAAACTGAATGAATGTAAATAACAGAGGGTTCTGAAGAATAAGGAATTGGGTTTGAAACAGCATTGTGAAGGGATCCAGCAGCACCGCAACAAAGTRGTTTCTTCAGGGGCCAGTTGGAGCTTCAAAGGAGATCCGCCTAGGGCAGAGACACAGCATAGAATCTGCAATTCCAATTTTTAATTAGATAAATTTTGAAAGCAAAAATCTCCGGGTATTCCAAAAAAGAAGTTTTTATATGTTAAGGCCCAGGAACTGATAAAAATAACTGATCATTCCTGGTTGGTGACAATCGAAGCTAAAATACTTAGATATWACCCCATTTTCAGTGTGGTACCTCTGATGATGCCAAGAGAACAACGCTTGCCTATCAGCAACAGCCTAGAGCCCATAGCAGGTGTAGGACAAAGTCACATTTTTGATTAGATTAAACCTCTGTATTTAGGAACCCATGCCCAGAATGACTTTTCTCATAATAAACGTACAAAATACCTACAAACACCAGCTAGTTAATCTTTGGCACGATGAAGTGAGCAAACACAGCAGCAGCATTTAAGAAACCTGATTTCCTCCAGCAAAACATAGGTCCGCTGGGATYTATTTCAAAATAGCTGGATTTATACCACAGCTTTTTGCCTGAGAGCACAAGGGTAAGAGGAGAGGCATGGATAAGGGTTCTCTTCTACACAAAATCTTTAGGAATTTTATAAGGCTAAATCCTCTGGAAATGATTAGAGACKGGTAAGTTATCCAGATGACACAGAAGACTGGAAAGCAGAGAAAGAGGGAAAGGTGGCATCTCTCCATAACTCAGGATAAAATTAAGTCTAAAAATTTTGCCTGCTATAAAATAGCTTGAAAAAGGCAGACTTTCAAGGAAGAACTAGCATTTTATCTGTGAAAAGTAAGTCCGCTCAAACTACTTCAAGTGGCTTCAAAGGCAGAACAGAGAGCAGCGTTACGCCCAGGGAAGGCACTGAACCCTCCGGCACTTGACGGAGCRAAGGTTGCAGCTGCTCTTCTCAGGCCAGCACTGGAGCAGGCAGGTGCTGCCCTGGGCGTCCCACAGCACTGGGACAAGTCTGCAAACCAACCACTGCTGCTTTTACTAAGTTTATTTATTGTTTAGTGTGCTCATCTGGCACAGAGAAAGGCAGGAGAGCAGTCAAAACGCCAATGGTTCCTTCCTACCCTCTCCCCGACTTTCTGAGGCAAATGAAGAAGCTTCCTCGGGATTAGAGGATTATTCTGGGGCAAAATCCTGTATGATTCATTATCGGTTACAGCCTTGTGCCCAAAAGCACCGTGTCTTCAGTGCTGGCCCTGGAAATCAGAATCCATTTCCAAGGACACRCTACGTCATACACCACGCTCCGGTCGGAGCCCCTGCTTTAGAAACCTACCCTCCTATCTGCATCTCTTCAGGATTTGAGCCTTAGGGTATGTGCCAGTGCAGAGAGAGGCAGAAAGCAGGGCTGGTGGTGAGGAAGCAAGTGAGACTGTTTTAAATGAAAGGGAGAGGCACCATCTCCGGCACACAGGTACATGTGCACCCTTATGCTTTGTATTTGCATGCATTTTGTGTACACATTATAAAACCACATAAAACATCCTTAGAACGTTCTGGCTTGTACCGACTGAAATTAGCTTTTCATTTGCTTCACAACACTACGAACACTTAAAAACACATGATAAAAGCGAGCACTCTCGGAGTAAGACTAAACACAACAAGAAGTCTGCAAGCAGGTTCGCAGAGTACAAAGATGCCTGAAAGAATATTGCTCCTTTTTCATGCAGTAATTAAACATTAACTCCAACCCCTAGGACATTGTTTACACATGGAGCATACCAGCTGTCTACACAGGRCTACGCTACCCGAACACTCCTCAGACACAAAGACCTGTATTTCTATCCCCACCAGAATCCTGATTCTTCCCAGCTCTGTTCCAAGCCCTGGATACAYCTGGGATGTTTGCTAGCATGGTGCTAGGAAAATCTTGGAGATGTGGTAGCTCCAAGGACTCCAAAAGCTCCATTCTGATCCATCCCCTTCCCAGGTGCTGCTCGTTGCTTTTGCGCAAGGACAGAACAGAGCAGCACGGGCTGAGGGCCCTTGTTCATCTGCAACAGTTGTGCAGCCTGAGGCCACTCCACCAAGTCCATGCCTACCACAGCCACCCAGCGAGCGGCCACCAGTCCAGCGGGGAGGAGCTCTTTCAATCCCAGCTCTTTGAGAAATATACAGAGGAAATACTGGCTACATTCTGTATTTCCAACAGAGGAAAGAAGACACGAGGAACATGAAGTCAGAGCTGAGAAATCTTTATGTGCTATGAAAATAGCCATAATAGTTAACTGCCTTCTGAGAAGTTATCAGCTTATGCACATAATTACATAAAGAAATGGGCAAAGAAAAACAAAAAACACCCACAGCCAGGTGCAGCCTAACAAAAAAAAAGGGAAAATTCATAACTAGGAGACCAGCTGCAGTTTTTCTGAGGCAAGTTACACAGGGTTCAGTTGACCAGACACCAGCTATGCTCAGCCCAGGGACAACATGAGGAATTGTCAAAAAGACACAAGGAAAACGGCACAACAAAAAAGGAAATGWGTCTTTACAGTCTGTGTAAGACACTGCCACATGGCAGCATAATGTATCATCTTAAAAGTACTCAGTAACGTGATAATTAGCATTATCAAACCAATGCATCAGTTCTTCTGGTCTCCTAATTAGGCTCGAAAAAAAAAAAAATCCGTATGGTCCTTTACTGTTTACAGAGGGATATTACCCTGGGATTTTGGTAGACATTATTTGCATGAGTCAAAAATAAGCTTTCCTTTATCGTTGGATCTCTGTCTTGGCTCCAGATCTCAGTCAAGGAGAACAAATAGTCCTCCCTCCCCCATTTCAAGTGATAGTTCAAAAGTAGGATTTTTTTTACCCTTCTACCTTTCAAAATCCACCAGTTTATTCAACTGAAAACACAGCAGCTCGTCCTTACCCCACACTGTAACCATGACTTCATTTTCAAAAAACAGGCCTCATCATATTGAATGCCACCAAACATGTACCTTATCCTTTAGCTCAAATATATTTTGCATGACCTTACATGAATTGCTTAGATAAAAGCCTTTTTTCTTCTACTTTTGTTATTTTAAAGTGCAGATGCATTTGAGTCATTTTCCCCTTTTGTTTCATATCCTTAAGATCCACAGCTTCAAAGACAAAATGTCAGCATGCAGTCGATTTATGACTGAACTCTTGAAGAGACACTGAAGAATTACCTTGTCAATCACCCCAAGGACTCTGAAGGCCTTCAGTTCCTCGGCAGGGCTCCTTAGGTTCCAAGAGGGCCTTGAACTTAGTGATCCTGGAGGCTAATGGAAGATATCAAAGATTATACATCAATCAGGGTGGTACTTGAAGGAAGACTGCCTGCTGAAGCAAATGCCAGGCCGAAGGAAACTAAATTTATCATAAATCAGAGAGAGTGAAGATGAAAGGAGAAGTTTCTGTTTGTCCTTAGTGGCGGAAAAAAAGCAACTTGCAAGTAAATAAAATCAAGATAACACTGCAAACAAAAACTTTAAAAAGAAAAAATAATTAGTTTATACACTTGCTGTGCTTAATGAAACTTGGCAATCAATCGCTGAATTCTCACCCCATCCCAATAATCAATGAAAGCTTTATAGGTATTCTGGCTACAAGATAATTCAGAGATCACTGGGAAAAGAGGGAAAAAAGAACAAATTAGAGCCTTTTTAAGTTAGAAGAACATAAAATACAGAATTATAAACAAGGCTACCTTGTTCTCTGGTGAACTCTAGGAAATGCCTTTAATAAAAAGGTGTGCAACACAAATCTCAAAACTGCCTTAGAGAAAGACAGCAGTATATTATTATTCTACAAATTAAGCCATAAAAACTATTCCAGTAGTGAATGGGCATTAATTTCTGTCCATGTTATGTTTTGTAATTTCTCAGAATAAACTCAAAGCTTCATGTCAGRGGAGGGAACAATATTTCACCTGCATGTCTTCTGAGAGAAACGATTGCCTCTTATGCATCACATACAACTCTGGCACTTTAACAAACGTTTTCAGAAGTTTCCCGTCGCAAACTGAGAGAATTCCTTAGATCCTTCTCCAAAATTTCAGCAGGCAGCTTCTACCAGAAACACAGATCTGAATCTCTTTCTCACAAATACGATAACTTCATTTGAACAGGTGTTGAATGCCAAACACTTTTTCGACGTAAATTGGCCACACCAAGCCCAGTTCTATTGCACAATGTTAAAAAAAGGTGAAACTCCTTGATTCTTAGGTTTCTGAAAGGCAAAAACTGGTTAGCTGATTTTCCAGCATCCTGAAGCAATACTTAGCAAACCTTACACAAAGGAAACTCACTGCTAACAGTTATGCTTGGGATGCATCAGGAAAAAAAAAAAGATGTTTTCCCTTACGATCAGAAATTCTCAGGAAAAAAATAAGTATCCCAAACTGAATATTCCACTGGTTCCCCTTTCCCCTCCAACATTTTTACTGTGCTCTCCCCAGCGCACTCAACACTTTCCTGAATACTCCCCACCCCTGGTCCCACTCTATCTTGCCATTCCACCACCTTCTCTTCCTCCAGATTCTTTCCTAAAATCAATTTTTACTTCAGCTTTGTCAGCAAAGTTCAACAGAAAGGTCAAAAACAMATGTTCAAGAAGCTTGGAGAAAAGGGTGCTTTTCTTTTGTGTTCACCTACTAGACCCTATWTTTCAAAGAGTTTATTATTCATCTTCGTTTATCTGTCTGGGTCTTACACCTTATCATCTGAGTTTTGTCACTAAAGAATGCAGAACAGGAACACTGACATCAATTAAAAGAAAAGATATTCATATGAAGGGAAAAAAAACCCATACATGAAGTTATTGCTGCAGATCTAATTTAGGTTCCACGTTCCAGTGAAGTACTGGAGGGGCAATAGGAGGTTCTTTTGGTGGGCTGTATTTTGTTTTAATTGTGTGTGATTTATCTGCAATAATGAAGTATTTGCTTTGAAACAGAAAGTCACGCACAGTTTACTCATGACAAGACTTCAAAAGTATTCAAAGGAAAATATTTAACAAAATAGTTTTTTTTTCCAAATCCTCCAGACCACTATAAAAGATTTCCACTTCTATCTGCATGCTATTACTTTTTATAACCATTATAACATCTATATTGCTAAGATCTTCTCTTATTCATAGCATTTCAACCAAGTTAATTTAATAATTTGATACAGAAGTTAACAGTTGTCTAATAAATGCTCAAGAGTCAGACTTTTTCTCCCATCATGTCTGAAGAGCTTGAAATACAACAGTACCCACATTTGAGTCCTTCTCTGAAATAWCAGCAGTGATGGCACAGTCAGCAATACTGCTCACAGACTGCTTTTTCAAGTACGTATTCTACGTAGTCACTTCTTACCTTGAAGCAATTATCATATCCCCATCTCCACGGCATCTCTGCTTTTAGGTTATTTTATACTCTCAGGTTATTTTATACTCAGGTTATTTTATACTCTCTACTCGGCCTTTGCTCACAGGGCAGATGTTCCAGGCCCGTGATCATCCTCGTAGCACTGCGCTGGACTCCATCCAGCAGCTCCACATCCCTCTTCTACTGGGGAGCCCAGAATTGGACACAGGACTCCGGAGGTGGCCTCACCAGGGCTTTGGGGAGGAGGGATAGGGGGACGATCGCCTCCCTCGACCTACTGCAGACGCTCTTCTTAATGCAGCCCAGGATCCCGTTGGCCTTCTTGGCCACCAGGGCACACTGCTGCCTCATGGCCATCTTGTCATCCACCACGATGCCGAGGTCCCTCTCTGCGGGGCTGCTCTCCAGAAGGTCAGTCCCCAGCCTGTACTGCTATCTGGGGTTATTCCTCCCGAGGTGCAAGACCTTGCATTTGCCCTTGTTGAATTTCGTAAGGTTTCTCACTACCCCGTTGTCCAGTCTGTCCAGGTCCCTCTTCACAGAGAGTTACAGGAGAAAATACACAGCTTGAGTAGCTGCAAAATGGCTTGCCACCACTGTTATGCAGTGTTCTCAAGGGTCTGCAATAAAGAAGGCCCTTGAGGCTGCCGTGCCACACCAGAGGAGGAGGAGGAGGGCAGTGTTCGCTGCAGCTTGTTTTTCCAAAAGCAGCGCATCTCTATTTACAGTCTCCAGATGCCTCCACATCTCCTGCTGCTACGGGTCATGGCAAAGCTTTTTCTCACTGTTTACAAGACCCTGTCAAGTGAGGTCCCAGTTCATGGTCAGGCACAGCTGCGCGAGTTCCCTGGGCTTCTTCTCAGCCTCACTTCATCCTTAAGYCCTCTGTCCACAACCTTTTTTTAACCGCGCCCCGAGTGTTCCAAGCCCTTCYTCTAGAGCTCCTCTCTTCCCGGTACAGACTTGCGGCCACAGAGGCGGTTGCTAAGGATGCTGTGCTCGAGGGCCACACTGCCAGCTTTTTGCTGAAGGCAAGAAAAGTAACGGACTACCATTGTTCTTTGCTTGGTTTCCATGGCATCAAGGATAATTTCTGCCTCTCAGTTTTGAAAGGGGAGGCCTAAGCCCCTAGGGAGATCCTAAGTCCTTCTCTGGTCTTCCAAGCCGCCAGGGCCTGGCATTTCTGGCCCTAGGTTCTGGGATAACCCGCTCTGCTTTACGGTCGCCTGGAGTTCAAGTGACAAACAGGTGGCTGGGGGTATGTTTACCAGGCACAGATTTCTGAGGCTGCTTCATCTGGCTCAGCACATGGCTGGCAGACAGAGCCTTTGGGAGCCCTGCAAGGCCGAGGGGTGCAGGACAGCAGTTCAGTCTGCACTTCTGGGCTTACCTCTACCCCGGTGGATTTTCTCCAGTGTGGCTAACCAGAAACAGATAAAATGCACTGATCAAAATGGCAGAGAAGGCATTTTACAGTTACTTAAACACACACAAATATCCTGGCAAAGCACTCGCATTTGAACAAGAAATGGTTTCGTTCAGCACGACCTCCCGTAGGAGGAGATGCTAATGGTAACACAACAGCCTTGCCCCAACATGACCAAGGGCGTGTAAATGGCAGCTACAAACCGCCTCATCCCCAATGCAAAGTGAACATGCAAAGATGCACACACACTAACCTTGCACCCTCTAGACTTACTTTTTTTGGAGGATCACACACAAAATATCTGCATGATTCCACTAGTGAATATGCTCCCAAAATCACTTTGTGTAGATGCAAGTTTTTTAACTTATAAGAAAACAAAAACAGGTTGTTCGTGATTTTTTTTTCCCTTTCTCTTTCTCCCAAACATATGAAAGTTTTCATTCAGTACAGATTCTTCCTCATTTTCAGGAGTGTTTGACCCAAAGAAAGGTTACTTACTAGGAGAACATATCAGCCCAAAGTACTGTATTGTTCAAAGTACAATTCACAGCAACAGCAAGAGTCCACGTCCCATAGAATATATCTCATCTGGAACATCCTTTAAAATGTGGTCTCATCATAGAAAAATGCTTTAAAATCAGTGATTTTGCTATTTTAATTTACTTATTAGTCAGCTAGATTTCATAAGGCTTTATATTTTAGCAGTAGTGATTTCCTTAAAGTACTCCAGACCTGTGCAAAATAAGAAGCAATAATCTTCTGTCCTTTTTATCCTTAGCCGGTACAAACGTAAACAGAGAGGAACTTAGAACTTTTATATTTATTACAAGAAGGAGCAGTCACTGACAATCACACACTGTTTAGCAAGCTGCAGTAAAATCCAAATAACAGGTAAGTCCCAAAGGAACTGGATGAGGAAGGGCAAAGTAAAGATTTATTGAAGATGCCTTGGAAGAGGCTTTGTTTGTCTTTTGTACGAGTAAAGATAAGGATATTGCTTCTTAAGGAGGTGGGGATTGCTTCTGAAACTCCTCAAAAATCAAGCAGCTGCTGCTGACTCGAACACAAACAAGACAGGTATTTGAAGGAATCAGGAAAACCTTTGCTCAATTAACCATTTATTTAGTGAGACATTTATCCCCCCTCAACTCCCAAATGAGTTTCACTCAGGTCTGGTAAAAACATTATCCACAAGGCTAAAGAAACCAACAACCTTTCTACTCCCTGCAGAACCAAGCAATATCTTCCTTGGGAACAAAAAGAAATGTTATGTTCTGGAGGTTTTGTTTGTTTGATTGTTTTACCTTTCAATTCTTTAGCATTTCTAAAAAGGCCTATATCAGCCACTGCAAGGTAGAAGGAAAGCAAGCTAAAAACCCAGGCCTGGACTAAGCGAGTACTCTTGGTAATGCTATGAAGTGCTGTGAAAGGAAACCAACTAGCAACTTAGTAGAAGTTAGAAGTGTAATAACAAAATACTGTTCAGACCTTCTATTGGAGAGGTTTTAAAACACTAAGTATGGATACACTCTGTTAAAAAACAATTGAATTATATCAAGTTTTGGTTCAGGAAAAAAACACATACAACCTACCATAGAAATGGATGCATCTTCAGAGGGTTTATGGTAGAGAGTGGAGATTTTTTCAGCACGCATAAGGTACTCTGCAGTCCTCCTTTTCACTGCTTCTCGACGAGTTGGACTCGATTCACCTCAACAGAGGAAGAAACCATTATTTATCATAAACAATCCTACAAATATGTATCTTATAGAGTCACAGACCTGTGAAGTATGTAAAATATATGAAAGGTATATGAAAAATAAAATTAAAATCTTATTATAAACTAAATACAAATACTTACCTGATTTTCTTCTATCTGGTATACATTCCTGTGATAACAAAAGCAAGAACCAAAACAAACTACTGATACAGACTTTGCATGCAAACATAAAAAGAATTACAGAAGATACAGTGAGGAACTTAAGACACAGTGAAGAAACGTGCTTTTACCCATATTTCTCCCTAACAATAAAGGAAAGTCAGAAATACTGTCAATAGACAGAAGGCAACATTTGAGAGACTAAGATCTCTCCCTCACAGCTTTCCCATGCTGACTGCTCCTTTCCTGCGTGGTTCAGGGTGGCACGTGAAGAGAAAAAGTGCTCACACCAACAATTTCACTTCCCAGATGGCTGAACATCCTCCATGTTATGCTTAATTTATCCAAAAGTTTGCAAGAGAGGAAAATACCATAGTATAGTGCAAATTCTATGTTTCCTCTAAATCTTAGAATTTATGTTCAGGCACTCACATTGTGAGCACTGTTTGGTCAAAGTAGCCTTTCATTCTCCATTTGTGATGACAAAGGCCCAGACAGTCAACAGCCAGGTAAAAATAAAAGGGCTGCGAGCCACAGTTGTTACTGTAAGGATTTCCAGATACTGTGCTGAACATTGCTTATAGACAGCTATCCTAAGATTCAGAACCACTGAACATGGATTTTATATGGCACCCACGGCCCCTTCCAGCCTTAACGTGCCATGAGAGACCTGCAGAGCCCTATCCTGGGCTGTGACAGCTTTCTGAACCAACTGGGGCAACCCAGTACCTTTCACAAACCCATGCTCAGATAACGAGTTACATCTCTGAGGATATCTAACAGCTATTCAACATAAAAGACGAGGCAAGGAACAGAAGAGGTAATAAATTAAACACAGAGATACACAAACCCTAACACAAAGCCGATAACAGAGGCAGTAAAACAGACTAGAACTCGGAAGACGTTGATCGATGGGTCACTGCAGGAACCACCGTGTGTAACCTTGAGGAAGTTCAACCAGAAACTTTGGAACCGATAAGACAAACACAAAATTATTGTGGGTTATCAGACTGAGTCTAATACAAATGAGCAAACTTCTGGTGGGATGTCTGAGGGGGACTGAGAGACCACGCAAAACTTACTGGGGGACATTTTCACTACTGCAGGAACAGGGAAAAACATCTTGAGCGCGTTAGTGGAAAGATCAAAGATGGTGAAAGAGAGAGGTCAAGGCAGCTCAGGGTGGAACAGGCATGTGGAAAGAGGGGCAGGAATTAAATGGCCCAGTTTTGTGTAAGGAGACCTTTGATCCACACACGTGTCTGGCTGAGTCCTTCACTGGACCACCACAATCTATCTCAACTCCCTTGTAAAATCTATTCCTCACTCTTTTCTCAGGCRTGCTCTCTATTCCCTGTATGCATTATACACCACCAGACTTCAAGCCAAGTTGGCAGCTAGGACAAAATATCCAAAGCTGGACACTGGAGGGAACAGGAGTGTGTGGGCCCATTACCAGAGACCCCACTCCAGAGCAAGAGGTCTTCTCCTGGGCAGCTGTGCTTAGTAAGAGGGTGGGGGCTGTTGGTGCTGTCCGTGTTTAGGGTCATGGACATCCTTCTAACCATGTTGCGCTGCTTGTGGTCAGCCACACACAAAGTAAGGCTGGACATGCATGCACCTCTCAGGAATGTGGTGGGACACAGAAAGGGCATAAGGGTCTGATCCTTCCCTTCACCTCATTTGGTTAAACAGAAACTGTGCTATTAAAGGAGAAGCAGCATGTTGTCTGGCTGTTCAATTTTCCCCAGACACTTTTAAGACAGAAAAATGTATGCCTGAAGGAGGAAGGTGGATCCCAATGTTGCTTCATCTAGCATAGTTTTGTTATGGCACAACAGTGGGAAATTAAGTACCAGGCCCTTCTAGAAAACGCAGGTGACAACAAAGTTCATCTATCTCAGACGCTCAGCAAGGCTGTTTCCTCCTTCACTGCCCACGAAGGAATAAAAATTGCCCTTGTTTTAATAAATGTTTAGAGTTGTGGAGTGAGCACTCAATGAAACAGAAGGATGAAGGTAGAAGCTCTCTTTCATTTCACATACATCCATATCATTAGGTTTAGTTCTAAAATAAATCCCCTTCCCCATAACAACTAGAACCTACCCAAACACACAAGACCGACCCACAGAGACACCCTTGGGAAGAAGTAGAAAAGACCAAAGCTCTCCTCCCAGCCTTGCCGAGTGATCTATTGCAAGTCTTATTATCTGTCTTGCAGGAAAGCGGAAAAGTGATTTTTAGTTCCTTGGAGAGGGATATAAAGCCTTTCTCAGTAAATACTTGGAGCTGTCCAGCTTCTTCCACATCAAGTACTGCCAAAAATCCAGTACATTTTCAGCTTACGGTATTAAGGACATGCCCCAGCTTCTTAAAAAGAAATTACTAAAGGAAAAGGAGACCATTCCGCCAACTCCAGCATCTCTTTTATCAACCTCCAGTTCACCAGATTCTGCTGAAATGTCCCTAGATTGGAATGTCAGTATTATTCCCATTTGGGGGGGGTGGRGGTGGCAGGAAATCACCTGTTTGAACTAGAACTTGGCTTTATCTGCAGGCAATTGAAGCAGTCACATTCTAAGAAACTACAACACATTTTAATAAAAACTGTTTCTTTCATCTTTGCATTGGACTTCACTGCAACATAAAACTTCCTTGTGCCAATCCACAGGTGAGAATCCACATTCTTAGACACACAAACTGGTAGTTGCTCAGGGTCAACAAGTCATCCGCACAGCAACATTAAACTCTTTAGCCATCATTTTCTTCAAGCAAACTGGTAGAAAACTGCTGTGTTAACGTCTAAGACTATCATAAAAGTCAAACACACTGCTTAACTGTTAGTTATATGATTTAACAGGGATGTTTACTGCCTTTTTTTTCCAGTGCTTCAGTAATTTCAGGGTAATTAAGGCAAACAAGATAGGACATCCCTGCAGAGCTGCCTGTCTTCTCCCTATTTTCACATTAACTTCAGTTTTCCTCGTACTTTTCTTCCCCATATAATCTGTTAAAAAGAATTTACAAACTATTTGCTCATTAACACAGGGTGATGAGTAATGATACAGAATTTATTAAACTAAAAAAATAAATCTTTAGTATTTACACTAAGTTTCAGGCCATAAGAGTCCTAAAAAAATAAATAAGCCATTAGGACAATTTTAAGACACAGAAGAAAACATATTAAAGCTGTGACACATATACACACACATATAAATAAGCCAATATTTATTGCATTTATATGTTAAGAGATAATAGTTTTGAAGTCAGTCAAGACAGGTACCTTTAAAAGAATGAACAAAATTAAATCAAATGGCTTTTATTACAAATAAATACTGTGCGAGTATATTGACTTATTTCCATTTTATGGTTGGCCTACAATAAGCTAAAGAGGTACCTCTAATTATAATTTATAACTTGAAAGGCATTTTTCTTTAAAAAGCAGCAAACAGGAAATGTTTAAACTGTGTCAAAGCCTTTGATGAATCTTTACAACCGCTCATAAAAGCTCATCCTGCTTAAAATAATATTGATTTTTCATTTATTTTCCTAGATACTAGAAGATTTATGTTTCATCTGATCAGGATCAAAAGCCTTCCCCCTCCTGATCACTGGGATTAAATCAGCAATGTCATTTTACATGTTTAAAAACTGCTGCTGCTAAAAGGGAGATGTAAGAGCGGAGCAATGCAGATGATAGAGACCTTAGAATAAAGCCCCCCCCAAGATCCCCGTCTCTCTCCCTCTCCGCATTTGCTGCGGAGCAGCTGTGCCRCACACAGATCCACATGAATGAAAATATTAAGGCGAGAAACCACCCACTTAGTTTATTTTCCATATGACTTTCCTGTAATTATTTTGTAAACCGTTCACACAACAATATATAAAAACATCTGCAAAAACAGGTAATTAATGTGTCAAGCCAAACTAATGCATTTTTTATGGTGTCCATGCTTCGTCAACTGTAATTATAACTCTTTTTAAGCAAATGATGATGTGTTTGTTGCAATGTGCAAGTGGTTATTTTAGATGCTCTGTTTACTACTACTGCAAACAGAATATAAAAACTCCGCAGCTACTTTATTGCACGTATAAGCCTTCATCTACACAAGCAGAATGCTCCCTCATTTTCCAAAGGCTTTGCCTTTTTGGGGAAAAAAGAAAAGGAAAAAAAAAAAAAAAGAGAGAGAAAAGGAAAAAAAAGGAAAATAAGACTTAAAACGAAAATTGGCTTTGGAAGGGCTGACCAGGCCACCCACTAACCACTGTAACAGGAGCCAGGATATTAAAACAGCAGCCAACGATTTAAAATTTGTTCTTTAATTTTTATTTCTAAGGATGATTCAGCTATAATGTTTTTCTAATGTAACGTGTTCCTTACAATGTGCAAATGATCTTGAAAGTTTGATAGAAGCCACAGATATCCGAATTCTGCTGCTCCTGAGCTYATCTTTGACTCGCCTGCTTGCTTTCCCAAAGGACCACTGGTTCAAGTGAGAAGGACAGAGAAGAAACTGTTCCTACTGTATGTAAATAACAGCAGCACCTGGGAAAGCAGCAAGATTATAAAGAGTTTTCTACTCACACTATTGTGGCTCTTCGGAAGGGCACATATCTTTCAAAAATTAAGTACCCCAATATTGAGGTGCTAAGTAACAGCTCMCTTGGCTGCTTATTCAACTGCCAGCTCAGCTACAACTGTATCACACAGGAAAATGATTTACGCTGAAATGTTAGCAGCAAAAAGCTAGTGAAAGGGGACCACGTACAATAAACACAGCAACAGCGACCAGACCTGTGAGATAAGAACCGCAGAGAAACCAGTGCGGAGA